TGGATTTTGTTGCTTCTGTCTACCACATTGTAATTCATGGTGCCATTCTCCTGGATAACTTAGCATTTCTGTACTAATGGAAGCACATAGTTACATATGGCTTGCATTAATAATGAAGTGATACTTGGACACAATGAAAACATATGCCTAGTGCTGTCATAGCAAGGTAAATCAATAAACCTTGAAATTTAAGTAAATTAAATGACCTCAATTTTTTGCAACTGGACTAGTTCTATAGATGGTTTATTTAAAATACAGATTGTATTAGCCTGAAGCTTATGTAAATTGAAGAGTCTATAATTTCTAGGGAATTGCATTAAATGCTAGGTACATGGTTATTGTCTATACATACTATCAATACTAAAAACATTTTGGGGCCAGAAAGAGGGATCAGTTGGTAATGGTTCTTATGCAAGCAAGAGAACCTGAGTTCAGATCCCCAGCGTGTATATAAAAGCCAGGTATTATGGCATGCACAGGGACAGGAAGAACCATGCAACCTGATGCTCAGGCAATCTAACTGAATTGGGGAGCTCCAGGTTCAGTGAGAGACCCTGTCTCAAAGAAATAAAGTGAAGAAAGATCAAGAAAGATACGTGACATTAAACTTCGACCTCCCCAATTATGCATACACACTTACACACGCACCTACACATACAGCCTTATAAACACACGTACAAAACACCTAATATTTATTGATCATTCAGTATATGCATGTGCTATACTAAATGCTTTACCATGATAGATGTCATTATCAAAAGAAGCCTATCATGCCAATGTTATCATAGTCTCATCCTACTGATGGTGCGATTAAGGCACAGAAAAAGGAATTTGGCACCAAACAATTGAGCTGAGCTTATATGTACAGTGTTATTTATCAGTGTCCTTGCATTTCCACCCTTCTTCAACAGAAACTGATCTGCCTTAACTTTATTTCACTCTTTTTCCAATGAAATTGCTTTTACAATTGAACCCAGGTCCTCTGCAAAGCAACAAATATTCCTAACCACTGAGCCGTCTCTCCAGGCCCGTCATCAGCCTTTTGCCATGGCTATTGTAGCAGCGATCTCCCATTGAATACTCTTGCATCTACCTTTGCCTTCTTCTAATCTACTTTTGACTCTAAAGGCGAGGTATTTAAAAAAAAACTTTTAATGTATGTTATTTTTGAGATAGACTATCATGTAACCCAGATTGGCATTGAACTTGCTGATCTTGTAGCTGAGGATGACTTTGAACTTCTGATCTTTCTGCTTCCACCTCCCGAGCTTTGGGATTGCAGGTATAAAGCATCCTATCCAGTTTATGTGGTACTGAGGATCAAACCCAGGGATTTTTGTACATGCTACAGGCAAGCACTCTATGAATTGGCTGCATCCTCAGCTCATGAGGACAGGGTGATTTTTAAAGATCTTATTTTTATTTTTAACTAAGTGTATATGTATGTTTGTACATATAAGTACATTTCTCCCTTGGAGGTCAGAAGATGTCAGCCCCCTAGAAGCAGGAGTTGTACTGAGAACAAGGATGGGTGCTGGGAAGTCCAATCTTCTTAAAGAACAGCGAGTGCTCTTACCCTCTGAGCTTTAGCTCTCCAGCCCCCAGGGTAAATTTTTTTTTGAGACAAGGTTTCTCTCTACTGTCTGTGCTGTCCTGAAGTCCTGAAACTTACTTTGAAGACCAGCATGGCCTTGAACTCAGAGAACTGCCTGCCTCTGCCTCCCGAGTGCTGGGATTAAAGGCATGCACCCCAAAGAGATTTTCTTCTTTCTTTTTCTTTCTTTCTTCTTTTCTTTTTTTTTTTCTTTTGGTTTGTGGGACAGGGTTTCTCTGTGAAACAGTCCTGCCTGCCTGTCCTGGAACTCACTCTGTAGGCCAGGTCCATCCTGGAACCACCTGCTTCTGCCTCCCAACCCAAAGTAATTTTTCAAAACTGAAAATTTGTTAATAGCAACCACTGCCTTAGAACTCTTTAGTGACTTCTCATTGAGCATAAAATAAGACACAGAATCTTTGGTATGACCTGAATGCAACAAAAAGGTCCTGTATTGTTGCATTATTGGTTGGTTTTATGTTTTTAAGGCAAAATCTTACAGTGTAGTTCAGTCTGGCCTTGCTCTAGAGCCCAGTCTGCCCTTAAACTCCCAATCACCCTACTTTGACTTCCCAAGAGCTGGAATTACAGGCATGTGCTACCACACCTCAGTCTATTAGATCCTGTACTAGTGTACTGGTCACATGACTTCCCATCTTTATACTATGATCCACCTAGTACTCCTTTCAAATAAGTGCATACTCTATTTTCTCCATATTCTATTTCTGTTTTCTTCCAGCTCATAAAATATGCTATTTTCTTTTTTGAATTTAAAATATTTTATTTTTTGAAATTAAAGTGTAATTACATTGTTTTCCTCTTCCCCTTCCTCTCTCCAACCCTTCCCATGCACTCCCATGCTCTCTCTCAAATTCATGGCCTCTATTTCTTTAATGATTGCTTATTTATTAATTTATTATTTGTGTGGGAGTATATGTATGCCACTGCACATAAATCTTAAGGTCAAAGGAAACTTTCAAGAGCCAGTTCTGCCCTTCCTCCATACATGTTCTAGGAACTGAACTCTCAATCAGACACCAGAGGCAAGGGGAGTAGGGGAGTAGGGCGGGGGCAGAGTAAAGAAGGAAAGGAGGTAGGAAGGAAGAAGGAGGGGAGGGGAGAGGAAGTAGTGGGAGGAAGAGAGGAAGGGGAAGAGGGAAAGAAAGCAAAGGGGGTGGAGAGGAAGGAGAAGAGGGAAAGGGTGGGGTAAGGAAAGGGAAAGGAAGAGGAATTAAGGAGAAAAGGGGGAGTGAAAGGAGAAAAGATGGGGAGGAGGGAGGGCGAGGAGAGGGAGAGGGTGGGATAGAGTGGGAAGGAGAGAGGAAGAGAGGGTGAGGAGAAAATGGGAGGATGGAGAAGAGGAAAGGATGGAGGAGAGGAAAAGGAATGGAAAGGAAAAGAATGGAAAGGGTAGGGGGAGGAGGGGCAGAGGGGAGAAGGGTGAGGGTGGGAGAAAGAAGAATGGGAGAGGGGAAGGGCTTGAAGAAGTAGGAGAGGAGGGGAGGAGGATATAGGAAGAAGAGGGAAATGGGAGGGGAGAGGGATCAAGTGACTGAGAGGGGAGTGGGAAGGTCAGGGAAGGTGGGAGACAGGAGGGGAGGAGGGAGAGAGGGTGGAAAAGAGAATAGGAGAGAAAGGGAAAAGGAAAGGGGAAGGAAGAGAGCAGGAGGGAAAGGGTATCGAGGACAAGGAGGTGAGGTGGAAGAAAAGGGGGGAGGGGGTGGGGATGGGGCAGAAAGAGAGGAGGGAGAAAGAAGGAGAGAAATGGGAAAGGGAAGAGGGAAGGAAGACAGAGGAGGAAAGAGGAGTGGGAGAAAGAAGAGGGGAGGTGGAAGAGAGAATGGGGAAGAGGTTAGGGAGGGAGAGGAATGAGGGGAAGGAGATATGAGAGAAGGAAGAAGGATGAAAAGGGGGAGGTTGTAGAAGATAGGGGAGGGAAGAAGAATTGGGGAGTTGGGAAGGGAGGTTGAAAAGGGGAGAGGGAGGAGGGGAGGAGGATGGAGAGACAGGAGAGTAAGGAGCAGGGAGGAAGGGAACATGGAGGAGAAGAGAAGGGAGGGGGAAGAGGAGAGGAAAGGGAAGAGGGGAGATTGAAGAGTAGGCTTGGAAGAGAGGGAGAGCGAGAGGAAGGAAAGTGAGTGGGGATGAGAAGGGGAGGATGGGAAGCGGGAGCAGGAGAGGATGTGAGGAAGAGAATGTGAGGGAGCTAGAGCGGGAGGAAAGGAGGGGTGGTAAGAGGAGAAGAGGGGGTAGGAAAGAGGAGGGGAAATGAGAAGAGTAAGGGAAAGGAGGTAAGGGAAGAGGGGGTGTGTAGAGGGAAGAAGTGGAGGAAGAGGAGGCGCTGGGGAGGGAAGGTGAGTTAGGGGTCTAGGAGAAGGAAAGAAGGTTGAAAATATATAGCTTCCCAATGTTTTATGAGGCTAGCATTACCCAGATTCTCAAGCCAGTAAAAATATCCCAAGACAACTCTAGACTAACGCCAAAAGATTTATCCCAGGAATCTGAAGGTGATTCAACATAAGAAAATCTGCATAATATACCCTATTAATAGAACAAAGGGGAAGAACACACAATTATTTCAAATGATACAGAAAAAGTACTACAACAATTCAAACAGGTAGGAGTAGATGGGAGCCTCCTTAGCATGACAAAGGCCCCTCATAGATTAGTCAATGGTGGGAGCCTTGAAAAGCCGCCCACCCTTCTAGCAGCAAGACAAAGGCGTGTGCTTGTTGAAACTAGAGAGGTGGTGATTCAAACACAGTCTGAAAGCCGAGAGCTGCTCAGAACATCCTTAAAATAGTTCATTGAATGTTGTGTGAGCAACAATTTACATCACCTAAAAAATTTTTCTTATGATGAATCATTTATTCTTTTGACTTACTGACCTATAGGACTCTTTTCTATTTTCCTAGCTTTAATTAGCAGAAAAGGAGTTTATAATTTAGAGATTGCCTGGTAACACCATGAATAGGAAATTCTAACTATGATTCCAGATGAATGTGAGATAAAAGTTTAACTAAAAGGGGCTGAAAACTACTTTTAGGAAAGCCTAGGAAGGGAATGGAAACTAGATGGCTTTACATATGAAAACATATCTTCGTCTTCAATTCATAAGGGATTTAAAAGCTAATTCGGTTGCAGCTGCAGCAAAGTAATCAGAACAGTACTGGGTGTGTTTGTTTTCTGTTAGCAATGTTTAGAGAAGCTGTTTCCCAAAGCCAGGACTTTCTAGAAATGCACATTCTCAGGCTCCATCCCAGACCTTGTGAGTCAGAAACCCTGAGAAGAGAGACCTAGCCGTGTTTTAACAAGCCTCCCATGCTCCACACTCAAGTCTGAGGGCCACCGGAGGAGACCAAGAAGCGTGTCTCCCACAGGGACGGCCCAGGAAGCGTTTTCTTACCAAAGCATGGCGATTCAGAAATGGTGAGCCGTTCCTTCTCATTCTTAAGTTGTCCACTTGGAATCCCTGTGAGTTATCACTAAGACAAAAGAAAACATGTGGCTTATAAAATCCATTACCAACTTTTTAAAAAAAATGCAATTTATGGTTAAAGAGAAACACTGTGAGTGCAAATGGTGGAGATATCTGTGTGGATGTTTACACACACACACACACACAGAGAGAGAGAGAGAGAGAGAGACAGACAGACAGACAGAGACAGACAGACAGAGACAGAGAGAGACAGGGAGAGACAGAGAGGTTTACTTATTCAAGCTTAAAGAAGTTTCATCGGAAGGTAAGAAATTCTTAGATACGCCATTTTACCTTTAAGTGTTCTTCTGAAAATAAGCATAATTTTCTGTAACCTTGGAAATACACCGTTTTTTGTGTAAACCTGTAACTTATTTAATTTTAGGTTCGGAGCTATAATGTACAAGCACAAATTCTCAATGGCTGAACTGTTACATAAAGAACCACAACCAACAGCAGGGCTCAAAGAAACAGACTGTCGGCAGGTCAGCATTACCCTGCCCTGTTAAAATGGTTTTCAATTCATTGTGTACTCTAAAGAGGTTTCACATCTTTAAAAAAAAATCAAACTCAATATTTCTAGCTTCAGCTGAAAATTTGCAAGTTTGTGCGACACTGGACCACATTCCCACACTACAAACAAGAGCAGCCAACCACCGCGCACTGAAAATGGCATCTATGTTTCCAGCTTGACAGTTGTCGACATAGGTGCTCTCAGTCCTATTCACCTTATCACCCAGAAGAAGCCATCTTTTACTTTTTATGTTTCTTTTTATCATAACGTCTCAGTTTAACTCCAAAAAAGTCACAAAAAGAATACAAAACGATTCCCATGTATCATTTATTCAGCTCTCTCCACCGACTCTAAGAAATCATCTTTAGCCGGGAGTGGTGGTACATGCCTATAATCCCAGCACTTGGGAAACGAAGACAGGAGAATCAGGAATTCAATGGCAGTCTTAGCTACAGAGTGAATTTGAGGCTAACCCCTAGGCTACATGAAACCTTGTCTCTCTCTCTCTCTCAGAAAGAAACATTTCTAACACCTTCTTGCTGCTTATATCCAATCAAGCGCCAGTCATTTGGGCTGTACCCCCTACACTCTATTTTCTGTCCATCTTCTTCTTTTTAGGATCGTTGCCAAAAATCACTTCAGAGCATTTTTCCTTATACACAAACTGCACAATAGTCTCTTTGGCCTCCTCACCTCTGTTCTTTCCCTATTTCAAGCTATTTAGCAGACTGCCGGGGTCACCTTCCTAAAGAATAGCTTGCTCTCTAGCTCACAATTTTCAGAGGCTATTATCTGCCACATTCAGGGCGTTATTATGACATTCAAAGCCCTCCGCAGTCTGGCTACAGACTTTTGGATTTCAGGGACTAGGAAAATTTTAGAACAAAATCTAGACACAAACATAGCTTCTCTGTTTTTCTTTTGTCCGGTATAGCACAGTGAAGTGAGCAGAGTTCACAGCAACCTAGCCTGTACTTTAGAACCAGACAAGAGGGGAACCTACAGGCTACAGACACAAAGCAGGTGAGAGTTGGAAACATTGTTACTCTTATATGATCGATATACATTATATACATATATTGAAATATACAGAGTGACAAATGTAAGTATTGCTGTTAATCTGAACTTTATAAAAATGTAAGGAAATTGGAATAGCAACCACCTTATTGGATTATTACATATCATACATATGTATTGGATGAGCTTGCTGTCCCCCACAAATATGTAAACGAATAGTTCATTTTAAATACTATTGTTGACCACTATCATTAATTTTATCTATTATTTTACTGTGATGGTGGGGAGTGGAGCCAGTGCCCAGTATGTGATAGCTCAACCATTGAACTATATTCTCAGCCTTCCTTTGACTCACTGTTACCTAGGTTAGTCTGAATTCCATCTTACAGCTTAGGTAGGACATGAACTTGAAATTCTCCTGCCTCAGTCTTCTACGTAGCTAAGAGTATAGGCCACCAGGCCCATTGAATATTTTACTTGTGAAAGGGTAGTATGTTATGTGAGGGACAAAGAACCCTAGAGTACAAAATAGTCCTGCCTGGGACGGAACAATTGGCAGCTGCCTTATAGATTTAAGTATGTTGAAGTTTCAACTAATCTAAAAATAGATTAGTGGGAGGAAAAGACCTTTACTTAAGATCAACAGATCATTAGAGGAGCAGGCAAACATTTAAAGCCAGTGCTACACACAGATTTGACTATTCAGCTGTCTGCATAAACCTATGCTTGTCTATTTCCAGGCTTATTCCATACACTTGAAACGTTACCTAAGCTCTTCATTCCTAAATTTTCATTTCCTCCTTTAATTTTGGTTTGTTTCAGGTAGGGTCCTATGAAGTCAAGGCCTGTCTCCATCTCTTTGTGTAGCCAAGGTTGACTTCGAACCCCTGATTCTCCTGCATTCACCTCCCAAGTTTCGAAGTGCTAAGATTATAATATACCCAGCTGACTTCTCTTTCCTCCTCCTCTTTTTGTACTTGTGTGCATTCCCATTCTCTCTCTCTCTCTCTCTCTCTCTCTCTCTCTCTCTCTCTCTCACACACACACACACACACACACACACACACACACACACACCACACACATGTGTGTGTTGATCTTTAAAAACAGTCTCTCACTATGGAATCAAAGCTGGCCTTGAGCTCATTGAACTCTGGAGCTCCACTTCCAGAACGCCAGGATTACAGGCATAGGCCACCACACAGAGCTGTCCTCTAACTGGAAGAAAGCAGAGGCAATAGAACTGGATCATGTTCATATGTCCCATATCAAATGTCAGTATACAACTCATCTAAGCAACAGTAGATCTGTGTTAATTATTCCTTGAAACAATCACTTAGTGGATGAGTATTCTTCTTCTAGGTTAGTAAAATTCAATAAACTAAATAGTGGATATACTTTGAAAGTAGTAGATACCACACAGTAAATATTAAGGCTTTGGGGACATAAAATTTCTGTTGTTACTTCTCTTCTATGTCACTGTAGAATGAAGCCAGAGGGCTGTAGAGGGGGAAGTTATTGGCAGGGAATCCAAAAAACTTAATATTTAAAGGTTTTGTTTTGTTTGTGTGAGTAGGGCCTCACTATATAGACCTGGCTGACATCAAAACTGCTATGTAGTCCAGGCTAGCCTTGAACTCACAGCAACTCTTTTGACTCAGCCTGCTACGTCCTGTAATTACAGGTAGATGGCATCTGGTTACACAAAGGTTTCTGTTTATGTTTATCTGTGTGCGGTGATGGGGATCGACCCCAAGGTCTCATACATGCTAGGCAAATAGTTTACCAGAGAGTTACACCCCTATCTCAATTTCTAATAATTTAAAGAAAGGCCAGAGAAAAATGTTTTCTAAAACCTTCAGAGATGGTTCCAGGACAGGCTCCAAAGCTACAGAGAAACACTATCTCGACAAAAACAAAACAAAACAAAAAAAACCCATCTTACTTTTAAACATAGTATTAAAAACTACCTTAAATATAGTGAGGTGCTTAGTCTTACTACAACTTGATATGCCATGTTTTGTTGATACTCATGGGAGACCTGCCCTTTCCTGAACAGAAAGGGAGGAGGAGTGGACTGGGGGATAGGAACAGAGGGGATGGGGGAGGGACTGGGAGGAGAGGTGGGAGGGGAAACTGTAACTGGGATATAAAGTAATTTTTTTAAAAAAATTATTTTAAATATAGTATTGAAAACTACTTTGAATGTAGTATTGACTCTAGGTGTGGTAGCGCATGTCTCTAATCACAACACTGAGGAGGTGGAGGCAAGAGATCACCACTTGGAACACAGCCTGTTCCATAAGACTCTGTCAAAAGTTTTGACATTAGCCATTAAGTTAATGAACTGGAGACTGAGAGTATAAAGAACTCATGATGATCCCTCGGTCCCAGTCCTCAGGGGCCAGGATTATGAGTATGAACCATCACCCTCAGCTGTCCACACCTTTGACATAACCCGGGAATCACGTGTGACATGCCTGAAGTCAGAGACCTGCCTATGTAAGGGCTTGTTTTCATTTATAGCATATTGAGTGAGTTAGAGTGCAGTCAGAGACTTGCTCAGAAGGAAGAATTGGTCTAAAGTACGGCTACAGTGACCCTTAGTCAAATTCAGTCCCCTCTTGTATTTCCAGTTCATATGCGCCACGCTCCCTTACTCAGGCCTCAAATTCCTAGTGTCCTTCTACTTTCCAGACCACGTATAGCAGTGAAGGACTCTATCTACAGCTTGCCAAACACATGTTTGTCAAGTGATTTTCTCTATTCGCATCAAATTCCATGTATAGAAAAGTCCATTTTCTTGCAGCCTTACTTACAGAAGGGAATTTCCTAAATGTGAACTCTTCAAAACAGTATTACTGTTAAGGTCCTGGGGTAAGGCTATGGTTCACTGGTATTGAGCTTTCCTAGTATGCTCGAGGTTCTAAGTTCGATTCCTGGGAATCGCAAAACAAAAACAAATCAAAATACCCTGTTGTGTGTTTTGATGAGGTGAAATGGTGAGATCCAGGTTCAGTGAGAGGCCCTGCTTCAAAAGGGTGGAGCGAATAGAGGAAGATACCGACACTGCCACACAGAGAGAATGATAGAGAGAGAGAGATGTTCTTTCTCCAGAGTCCCCTTTGTTGTTCACAGGACTAAAGGGTTTTATTTACTATTAATATGCAATTAGAGATAAACTTCATAGTTCAAGGTCTTATTGCATAAAGTAGCATTTATACAGAAAATTGAAAGTTTATAGTAATTTATCTGGTAGGCACAAAAGAAACAAAGCTTACCATTTAAGCTAGTCTGGCTGGCTGGCTAACAAGTCCCTGCGATCTACCTGTCTGTGGACCCCAAGTGCTAGTGTTGCAGGTCTTTACTGTCATGTCTGGCTTTAATTGTGGACTCTGGGGATCTTAACTCGGAACTTCATGCTTGCGTGTCAAGCAGTTTACCCACTGAACTATCTTTCCAGCCTCTAGAGAAAGTGTAATGCCACTGTGGTGCTTTGAATGAGAATGGCCCCACTGGCTCATATGTGTGAACACTTGGTCCCCAGTTGGCTGAATTGTTTTGGGAGGATTAAGAGGTGTGGCTTTGTTGAAAGAGGTGTGTTACAGCGGGAGGGGGGCAGTTTTGAAGTTTCAAGACTGAAGTCATTCCCAATATGTCTCTTTCATTATTCTTTGTGGTTGTGTCTCAAGATGTGAGCTCTCAGCTCTGCTCCAGTGACATGCTGGCCTGCCAGCAATGATCCCGAACTCTAAGCCTCTGAAACCATCAGCTCCAAATTAAATGTTTCTTTTTTAAGTTTCCTTGGTCATGGTGTTTTTTTCACAGCAATAAGAAATAACTAAGACAGCCACCTATACATTAATTATCTGCCCATAGATCATACGTATACCTGTGCTTTGTACAAAAAAGTAAAATATACGTCTCAACAAATTATTTCCTCTTTCACGGCGAGGGATATTACCCACTGAGCATGCATAAACAAGATATATTTCCAAATGTATTTGCTTGACAACTATTTCCATCCTAGGTGTGCAGGAGATAAAGGCCAAACAAAGGTGAGAAGACAGCTGAGAAGGTGAAAAAGCAATAGTCATGGCAAATCTGGAGGCACAGACAGAGGGATGCTCAGCTTCTCCAAAGGAGTGGCTAAGAGAAAAAGTGAAATTACAAAAAAAATGTCATGTTCCACACCAACTGGTGGCGCGAGCTGGGTCCAGGCAGACCTATCCGAAGAGATTGTTCAGGTTCAGGTATGTGTTAACCTGAGATGGGATAGGATGGGGTGAATGCTGTCCATTGGTTTGGCTCATCCACTCCTTCTTCTCCACTAGGCTGAGGTTGAGTCTAGACACCAGAGATATGGAAGATGCCTGTAAGACCTTGATAAATAAAAACAAGGGAATTCTACCGGGCGTCATTTTGTCCAGCACCCCCTTTTTGCTGTCAGGTATGTCCACCCTGCTCACCCGAATCCATTGATCAATGGGATGCTGCTGGATCTTCTAAAGAGGCTGGCATCTATAGTGGTGGGATCTTGTGGCAGGCTTACATCCACTTCCATTTTCTCCTTTGCCACATCAGTGTTGAGGACAAAGCCACTACTTAGTTGGAAATTTTGAAGGGTGTCTGGCTCTTGTTGATTTAAGAACACATCACTGTCTTCGTCCATAGATACTGTAAGGAGAAATTCAAATGGGGGAAGGGGAGAGAAGAGTGGCAGGAGCCCTTAGATAAGCAGAGGCACTCAGCTTTAAGCCCTAGTGTCCCTAACACTTGTGAACACAAACCTGGGCAGAGCTGGCCTCAAACCTTCTAGTCCCCACTTGGACCCCTAATTGCTGATGCAAATGGCTCAGTGAATTCTCCTCTCTTATTTTTCTAATCCATGGCAACAAGGGAACTGTCAAAACAAAAACTATAGATTAACCATCCTGAGAAAACAAGGGCAGTTACACCTCCACCAGCTTCTTTTGTCCAGTCAAACAATGCACAGTAACTATGCAAGCAATTAGCATCCTTTATGACTCCAGCCAGACTCAGGAGCAGCAGTGCCGCGCATGTGCCTTACAGGAACAGCCTTCCCATGGCTCTCCTTTCCCCTGTGCTCACCAGGAAGGGTGTTGTGCTAAAGGGTATTTATCTGCTCCTATGCTGACTGTGCCACTCAGGAAAGAAGCGAAAGGAGTCAGTTATTTAGGAATATTTTGCCTTCTGCCCGATATTTCAGTTTTCCCGGGACTGGTCTGTCATCTTTTATGACTAAAAGCAACAAGCTTGCTTAACGGCACGTATGTTTCCTATAACAGCAGTCAAGCTACACCCTTGTAACTGAAAAACACAATGAAAGTTTGAATGGGGGGGGGGACGCTGTGATTATGATTTTGGCTTTGATAAATCACTTTCCCAACTAAAGCAAATGTGCAGATAAAACATAATTTATAACTGTTTTATGATAATCCTATATGAATATTTACAATGCATTAAATCTGACTGTTAGTCCAAGTCCTCAACTGATGTACAGACATAACAGCAAAGTTTATTTTTTAAAGCAAGCATCTCAGAATACTTCCAAATCAATGTTTCTGCTATTGGTAGTATTGGCGCTATGCTCCTTTTAACGTTGCTTTTACTTTACCTCTGCTTCCACAGCTCACAACACGTAACTTCTTATTTAGCATTTTTTTTAGCACCATTTAATGAGCCCTACTCAGGGCTAAAATCTTAACTTCATGCTAATAATATTGGGGGCTTTGTTTGTTAGGTTTTTTTTTAATGAGACAAGGTCTCGTGCTGTAGCCTAAGCTTATCTGGGACTTACCCTGTAGCACAGGCTAGCCTTGATCTTGTAGCAATCCAACTACCTTAGCCTCTTGAATGTTTACCAGCACGAGCAACCACGCCCTCGTTTGATTTTGTGTTTGCCTGTGTGTGCTTTTGTGTGTGTGGAGGGGTAAGGAGTACTGAGGATTGAACCTAGAGCATGGGGCATGCTGGGAAAATGCCTCACTGCCTAGCTATAACTTCAGCATGTTAGTAATAATGTAAAGTTCCAATTTTAGGAAACATATAGAATTAGCAGAAAAATGTAAATGAACCTAGTGAAATGGGATTTTTTTAAAAATTAAAATAGCTCTAATATTCAAATATCACTTTGGAGTTTACAAAATGTTTTCACATGTCTCAATTGGCTCAATCAACAGCCTTGTTCAGCTCATCAGTGGTGAGCTTAAACTAATGGAATTGTCTTGAGATAGTTTGTGAAAAGTTATGACATGTAAGATCATAATCACTTATTTTTCATTCATTCTGGGAATAGAAGAAGAAAAACTTGATTATGCTGCCAGAATTAAATTATCTAAATCCCAGACATGAGGATGATTTGGAGTCTCCATTCCTGATGTAAGACAGGTTAATAATAGCTCCCATTTATTGGGCACTTATGTGCCTGGTACTATTCTAATCACTTTAAATATGTGATCACATTTAAAGCTTACAATAATTCTGTGAGGTAGGCACCATCACAATGCCCTGATTTCAAAGAAGGGAACCGAAGCCCAGAGGGGTTATTCAAATTCCAACTACTAAGTGGCGAAGACAAGATTCCTCTGCCTTTCTGGTTTGGTAAAAACATAGAAGAGGCACTTCTGAATGCTTGTATGAAACCTATTTCTATACTCATAAACACTCACTACATATTTATTAAATTGCTATATGAATACAGGCAAATTTAAATAACCTCTATATGGTAATTTGAATGTAATTGGCCCCAAAAGCCCATAGGGAGTGACACTATTAGGAGATGTGGTTTTGTTGGAGGAGGTGTGACCTTGTTGGAGGAAGTGTGCCACTGTGGGGGTGGGCTTTGAGGTCTCAGATATGGCCATGCCATGCCCAGTGCCTCAGTTCACTACCTGTTGCCTTCTGATCAAGATATAGCCTGTGTCATGTCTGCCTACACGCTACCATGCTCCCCATCATAATGACTATGGACTGAATCTCTGAAACCGGAAGCAAGCCACCACAATTAAATGTTTTCCTGATGAGTTGCTGTGGTCATGGTATCTCTTCACAGCAACAGAAACCCTAAGATACTATATTTCATAGTTTTCTCATAAAATATATACAACTATTTTACAGTGCATATTGACCTCAAAAGATTAGTGATACATAGCTTGGTACCAGTAGAATCCAGTTTGCCACCCATAATCTGAAAGGCATTGTTACAATTCCCTGGGTATTTAGAGAGTATATAAAATATGGCTGCTAAGGTGATGAGAGCACATGAAAAGGGTAGTGCTTAAAGACAGAAGAAAGGACGGCGTGGTCAAAACCCCGGAGTGCGCAAGGGGACAAAAGGCTCTTGCCTGTATCTTAATTTTCATGTAATACACTAATATTCTTTGGGTGATTTGTTTTTGTTTTTGTTTTCTCTTTTGAGACAGGGTTTCTCTGTGTAGCAGCTCCTGTAGACCAGGCTGGCCTCGAACTGAGAGAGATCCTCCTGCCTCTCAAGTGCTGGGATTAAAGGTATGTACCACCACTGCCCAGAGGGGTGTGATATGTTTTAATGACTGCATTTTGAATAAATAGATGAAGTTTCATATACCTAAGCATTTCGGGTCACTTTTTAAAAAATCTAAATGCAATGAGAATATGCCATCGAAATGCAATAACTAAGAAATAAGAATAGTATAATGACAAGAAAAGAGAATCGGGGACTGTTCGTAGAAAAAGGGTGGCACACATCAAAGGAAGGCTTGAGTTAAGCCATGTTTCTCGGACATGAAAAGACAGTTGTGCTCATGAGGTCACAGCAACTGAGACTGCCTGAGCAACTGAGACAGAGCAAGTCAGTCAACATTCTAGCATGGAGGAAGGAGGGGCTCACCAACTCCCACCCCTTATTGAAGAGCTACTGACAATTCATGGCTACTGACTGAGGGAGAGTCCGTGTTCTTTAGCAGTGTGGCCCCTGGTAGATTGACCATGCTTTAATGGCTGGCCTCCCATCTGTATGAAGCGGGAGGGGTAGTACTCACTGGACTCAGTGGGTTATAAAAAATAAGATGCTGTGACGTTGGGAGGGGCCCAGAGGGTGAGGTAGTCTCGGGAAGAGTTAAGGGGAGGGGTAGTGTATGAGTATAATCAAAATACATTGTACATCTCTATGAAATTCTCAAATGATTAATCAAGAACATTATACTTAAAATATAAAATGAAAAGGGTGGCACGGAAATATGAAATGACTAACCATATAAAATGGCAATGATTCTATTACTCAAAGAGGGGGACTTCTCTTTCACAAGAGAAGATTTACATGCCAGAAAATGAGAATCTTTAAAGACATAGACAGGACTCAGTACATCTACAAGTGAGAATATCAAAAGGATCAAGTACTGTAGTGATATTTGTATGTTAATAAATAAAGCTTGCCTGAAGATCAGAATGCAGAACAGCCACACTAGCCAGCCATAGAGGCCAGGCGGTGGTGGTGTACTCCTTTAATCCCAGCACCCACACTAGTCAGCCATAGAGGCCAGGTGGTGGTGGTGTATGCCTTTAATCCCAGCACCCACACTAGCCAGCCATAGAGGCCAGGCAGTGGTGGTGTATGCCTTTAATTCCAGCACCCACATTAGTTAGCCATA